CGACTCACCCGCCCCGGGCCGCAACCGGGGCCGCCGGAGGGCGCCGCGGGGAGCGCTTGGCACGAAGTTCGGACCGGATTCCCCAGCTGGGGAGACCCGGGGCGGGGGGGGGCGAGCGCGCCCTCAGGCTGACCCGTCCCCATCCTGTCCCTGCGCGGATGGGGACCACGCAGACAGGGTCTCCCAGGAGAGGGACGTCGAAAGAGGGAGTTGGAGCCCCCTTCTCGCCTCGTGGTACCCTCCGGGCGACCCTCGAGTCCCTCACTCGAGCCGGCGCAGCCCCTCGGGGGGCGTGAGAAAACAGCCCCCAGGCGTCCGCGCCATCGCAGAAAGTTTCAGGGAGCTAGCTGGTCTGGGAAGGGTGCCGCCAGGCGAGGCCTGGGGGCGGCAGGGAGTTGGGGAACACGGGGGTGGGTGTCTATCTCTCCCTTTGGCGGGGGCAGTAACCGGCGAAAGCCGAGCGGTGAGTAAGACTTGGAGGAGGCGGCCGCCCTCCGGCCAGCCCCGGCGGCTCCGCTCGGGCCGTCCCGGGAAAGGCTGGCTCGGATTTCCCAGCCTCCGGGAGAGCTGCTCGGGAAACGCCAGCCGGACCGGCTGGGGGCGGGGGGTGTGGTCGTGTGTGTTCGGTGTCTGTGACTCAGGCCTCGACCCGCTGGGGAGGGAGCGACAAGAAAATACGTGGAGATCGCTGCTCCGAAGCTGTGACGGGCAGCATCCAGGCGGAAGGACGCTGTGAGCGCGGCCAGCGCCCCCTCCCCGCAGCCGACCAGGATTTTTGCGCAGGTGGCGCCTGGACTGGAAAACCTTCCCGGAGTTTCCCCTTCCGTGGGTCCAGTGTGTGTGTGTGTGTGTGTGGGGGGGGGGGGGGGGGGAAGGGGGATTGCTGTTATTTGATTTAGGCGTTAGAAATGTATTCAGGTAAGCTCCATTTATCACCCGTGAGTTTGCGGGTCCCCTTCCAAAGTTTGGAGAAGATTGTTATGTCAGCCCGACGAACAGGTAGTTCAGCTAAGGAATCGTTTGCAGTCTGGGGGCAAAGCCCGTCAGAGAAAAGAGCAGGGACTTCGAAAGGGCGTCTGGTCATTTCAACAGACCGTCATGACTTTAAAAAACTTTCTTGGGTTGACACCTCATCTTGTGAGCGATTTTGTAAAACTTGGAGGTGTTGAGGCGTCAGTGAATGTCTCGAGGGCATTCGGGGGTGCCCGTTGGCAAAAGGGCACGGAGGGGAGGGGTCTCAAATGTTGGCGGCTGCTTTACCTTGAAAGTGAAACGTGGAACCGCAGGCAGATGCCTGCTGCTTGCAGGGGGGTGTAATCTTGCTGATGACGGGCCAGCCCAGTCTGGTCCCACGGCGGGTGCTGGGGCGCGTCAGTCATAAGGGTCAGCTGAGCCGTACTGCGGTGTTCATAGCTCCTCTCTCTTCGTGCTGCAGATGCCCGGACCGCAAGGCAGCACCGTCTTGAGAGGGAGATGACTTGAGTGGCTGGCTTTTGTCTCCACGACAATGTCCACGAACAGTTCCAAACAGCCAGTGCCTCCTGCAGCTGGACCCCTTTCCAACACAACCTGCCAGACGGAAAACCGGCTTTCAGTGTTTTTTTCCATCATCTTCATGACAGTGGGAATCTTGTCCAACAGCCTTGCCATTGCCATTCTCATGAAGGCATACCAGAGATTCAGACAGAAGTCCAAGGCGTCGTTTCTGCTTTTGGCGAGCGGCCTCGTGATCACAGACTTCTTTGGCCACCTCATCAATGGGACCATAGCCGTCTTTGTCTATGCTTCCGATAAAGACTGGATCCGCTTTGACCAGTCCAACGTCCTTTGCAGTATTTTTGGTATCTGCATGGTGTTCTCCGGCCTGTGCCCACTTTTTCTAGGCAGTGTGATGGCCATTGAGCGGTGCATCGGAGTCACCAAACCAATATTTCATTCGACGAAAATCACCTCCAAACATGTGAAAATGATGCTGAGTGGCGTGTGCCTGTTTGCTGTTTTTATAGCTCTGCTGCCCATCCTTGGACATCGAGATTATAAAATCCAGGCGTCGAGGACCTGGTGTTTCTACAACACAGAACACATCAGAGACTGGGAAGACAGATTTTATCTTCTACTTTTTTCTTTTCTGGGACTCTTGGCCCTAGGTGTTTCATTCCTGTGCAATGCCATCACAGGAATTATACTTCTAAGAGTTAAATTTAAAAGCCAGCAGCACAGACAAGGCAGGTCCCACCACTTGGAGATGGTCATCCAGCTCCTAGCCATCATGTGTGTCTCCTGTGTTTGCTGGAGTCCATTTCTGGTAAGAGCCTAAAGCTTTGACAGTTTCTGCTTTCCGGGGTTTTTCCGTGTTCCATTCAAGGTCTGTTGCCTTTTCAAAGTTGTGAGTCTGGAAGGTCAGTCTTTTAAAGGCTGGCATTTGCTCCTCACCAAAATCTATTTCACCACTCATCTCTGGCTTAGAATTAAGCTATGTATTGCACACTGGGTTGTTTTCTCACAAACCTTGAATGGAAAGACATGTGCTGCTAAGCCCTTCTAACCATAGTGCTACCTGCTTGCAGTGCAGTGTGGTTTTAAGAGAAGTAACATTTTTAATGAACTTAATATAGTCGGTTCCTAAAATGGGAAAAGAAATAACCAAGTATAATACAACACTGGAACAGACTCCAGGAAGTCTTGGTAGAAAGCTAGAAAGTCTTCTAATTTGTAGACAAGGCATAAACAGATAATGACTGGGTCTCCACTTGCAAAGGGTGGTGATAAATGGATATAATTGGATAGTCGGGTGAATTATATGGCTAGTTCATTAATCACAGAACAATGCTGTCAGTCCAGGAAGAGGTATGATTGGCAGAAGGGCCCAAGATCCTTCCTTTGTTGTTTCATTTAAAAAATAAAATAGAATTTAGCCAGCAGCGATAGGTAATAGCTTGATTTTTATTTGGAAATCAAGGCTAGAGGAAAGGAATTAGTGACAAACATAAATCATTCATATTACCTTCCAGATAGAAGACAAGAACAATCATATTTATGATAGAGAAGTATGATCTTAACTTCTTCCGGCATTCTGCTTTATCATAGAAGGAGTGACTACGTGTCATGAAGGAGGAAGTAGGGAGTGCATGACAGCAAAGGTTATTTTCCCTCCTTTTTCTGTGACATTGGGAAAGTGGACAGGTGTCCAGAGATGGTCATACAGGTGATGCAAAGGTCAAAGCAGCGGGGGCACAAAGGTGGGGGGAGGACAGAGGTTGTGGACATGCTTTATGTGATAGAATGACGGTACTTGTTACTAACACCGTTTTCCTAAGCCCCAAACAGGCCTGTTGCCCCAAAAGTGCAGATTTAATAAACAACCGAGATGATGCTGATGTACACAAACATGTGCAAGAGCTGCTACTGCAGATATCCTGTGATTGAGTCGATTTTATCTTGTAGAGGACGCTCTGCTTTTCTAATATTTCTTTATCGCTGCTCATATTATTGGCTCACAATCTGAATTTGGCTTCTCGAATTGTTAAATCATCCTTTCTCCCCCGCCATGCTGTTTCTGAGTTGGTCGGATGATCAAGACCCTCCTGAGGGAATAGTGAGTCTATCTGTGGCTGGCAGCCTTTGGAAACCTGGCTGTTATCAATTTAGGAGTCTTTAGGTGAGCCCCACAATGACCTGCTCTTTGCTTTTGCTAGAGTTGCTTGAATTGAATAATAGAGACCAGTTCTCACAACACTGGGAACCACTTCAGTGCTCATTTTCGAGACTTTTAATTCATGCCACTTGACAAGAGGAATTTCCAGAGGGCCATGCTTTTTTTTCTCTCTTAGTTACGTTTTGAAATTAAGTAGTTTTACAAAATAAAAAGTGAATCTGAGTGAATTGCATTTAATCTGGGAGTTGTGAAGGGAATATGAAGCGAGAAAATAGGGCTGAAAAATGTTTAAGCAAACTTTTATAACAAAGGGTCGGAGTTCTGGAGAACATCTTAAAAAGAATGAAATAGTACGCTAAATAAGAGACAGATAATCTGGCACTGAGGTGATCATTTGTATTTTTTTATTTACTCTGAAGCATCTTTAACTTCTGTCTAGTTCTTGGTTTTTGATTTTTTGAAAAACAGGAGTGATTAACTCCTGGACTATGGAAGGAAGCAAGATTTTACACTCTTGCCACGAGTATTTTTGAATGTATGTTTTTCTCTATTTTTTTCTTGGATTTTTTTGTTCCCTTCACAGTTTGGATAGATATTACAATTTAATTTATATTTTGAATATATTTCCTAGTAGATGCATAGTTCCATTTCCATGAAATATTTTCTGAGGTCTACTTTCTTTTTATGAATCATAACATCAGTGATATCAATGTTGTCTATACTTCTGAAATGCTTGTGAGTATGAAAATTAATTCTGTGTTAGATTCATAGTAGGTGCACCACAGATACTCCTTGATGAGTTGGTATTTTGAATTGTTCTAAGTATTCTTTGCATTTATGGTTTCTTTTGTAGATAATTGGGTCTTCATGGGTATTTCTAACTGAAAGGTTTATAACTTTGTGGTTTGGACATAAGTGCCAGGGGATTAAGTGAAGGTCATCAGACCAGTATAAATGGAACCCTAGTAAAAAACAGAATTGAGAATACCAAAATAGCACTCAACACTAATACCTCAGTTGAAGTGTTTTCCTTTTTCCGCAAATATCTAAAAGGATTTTAAAAATAGGTGTTGATGAGTGAGCCATAATTTTCCTGCTCACCTTGTATTTTAAAAGCTTCTTACTTTTAACAATACCTTTGAGTCCAAGTTTCTAGATACACTGTAGCAGCCAGGGCTTCCAAGTCAATGTCTATACCATAGGTCTTTTTTCTGGGATTGATAAGTGTGAATTGTTGCATTCATAATTTGAATGAACATCTGCATGCACTCTTTGACTTGAGTTCATGGTCATTTTCCAGCCTCAAACTGGAACAAATGCAGAGGTACATACCCTAAAAGGAGGAAATGAATAAAATGCAGATGATGGTGTCTGTGCTTGACAGGAAGTCATGCGTCAAAACTTAGCGATAGTGGCACAATTTTTAAAACCATTTACATTGAAATTTATACTTAAATGTATGTTGAAGAAAATACTTTATTAGTTTTGTCAATTGAGTGTTAACAAATTCAAAGGTAAAATGACCACGGTGTTGTTTGGAGTCTTTTTAATAGATGTTTTTTTTTTTTTGAACCTCACACTCCCCCTTTAATCAGATCTCATGCTTGACTTTATTTTTTTAAGTGGTTTGGGGTTTACAGAAAAATGAGTGGAAAGCCAGAGAGTTTGCAAACACTCTCTTCACCTAGTCACCCTCATTATTAACATCTTGCTTTGGTGTGTTGCATTGGTGGCAATTGATGGGCCAGTGATGGTACATTGTGATTAATTGAAGTGTGTATTTTACAATGGGATGTTCTCTTTGTGTTGAACATTCCATGGGTTTTGAAAATGTATAATGACATGCGTCTACCATTACAATATTGTACAGATGATTTCACTGCCCTAAAAGTCTCTTGTGGCTTTAACAGAATTTATTGTGTTTTATTTTTTTCAAAAAGGGAAAAGTACTTCCTCTCACCCCCAGTAAGGGAAATTCTGAAATGTGATACAAACCGTAATGTTTGTTTAAAATATAACTTGTTAATCACTTTCACATTTTGACAGTATCTGGGTTTTATAGGTTTAAGCATGTTTAACTCATACAAATTTATTTAATTATGTAATCCCAGCTGAAAAACGCAGGAAACTATATAACAGGCACTTACCAGATTACAGTTTCATTTAGCAACCAGCTAATTCTAAAATCTTGGAGCATGAAACGGCCACTATAAAATTGTCTTGTGTGCTTCCTGGGTGAATCTCTTTGCCTTAATAAATAAATCTTGAAGACATTTTTTGTTATGAGGGCAAAAAAAAAAAAAAAAAAAAAAAGACCAACACTTAAAAATTTTTTCTTAATATTCTTTATTTTGACCTCTATATGGGTAGTAATTCTTTTTTAGCGCTCCATTTCTAGAATGTAACCCTAAAAGGAATTAATTATTATTGCTATGTGTATTTCACCTATTAGGCAGAGCAATAAATACTTGTTGACTGGTTGACTGTAACTTAAGTAGTATGAATGTCAAGAGATTGGAAATGATTGACCAGAATATGGATTCTGAGTTTTGTAGGTAACAGTCAAGCAAATACTGAAACCAAATGTTAATTTTAATCTGTTCCCTAATCAGGAACAGTAGACTTAAGGCACTCTTAAACTTCAGCTGTCTTAAAGTAGAAAGTCATACACTTGTTTTACCCTCTCTTCAGGGATACAGAATCATTTTAAATTGGGAAGAGAAGTATAAAGTATACAAAAGGTAAAATGATTTCTTATGTAGGTGAGTATACCCAAGAATTATCATGTCTTGCATATGTAGAGTTCCAGTTTGATTTTTCTAAGGTTACTCCTGTGCTAATATTTCTAGTCAACGTGGTTAAACATTATTTGGTCACTAAGGTGTTTGTGAGATATAGATCAAAGAACTGGGTGGCTAATTGAACTTTGACTGAAATTACTGAGGGTATTGGCTTCATAATGAACAGGTCTTAGATGGCTAATGGCAAGTGATGGAGGAGCATAATATCACAGAACTTTTTGACTGTTGTTGAAGATTGCTTTCTTTGACCTCCGTCAATATATTGCAGAATGGTGTAACAGAGATCTATGTATGTCTCTCATGCACTGGCTCAATCAAAGGATGGTCAATGGATGTATATTTATATATTTTAAGAGAAAAGAAAATGTGGAAAATGTGTAAACGTGTATATACATACATTTGTACATATATAGTATGTATTTATACTGTGTATGTTTTTATGTACATACATACATGTGTACATACAATTATTTCCCAAATTAAAAAATAACCGATCCACCATTAACTCTGATTACATCAAATAAGAGAGCTTCTAATGGATTGCATTATAAAATTAAAAGCAAAATGGATTTTTTTTTTTTTGCAATGTTGTACTAGATCTTGGATCTTTTTTGGATTTCTGCTGATTTTAGAGCCAATATTGTCATACATTTTTTAGCCGGATTTCTTTGTGAAGTGGGAGTGTCTTTTTGTTTGGAAGATGGAAGCAGCCACAAAGTTGTCTGGATTCAGGAACTGATGACACCTGTGTTCTACTTCTTAAACAACTCAGGTGCATACAATTCATATTCAGGACCAAAGGCATATTTTAGAGATGTTTTCATGGAATTCAGGCTGCTTTCTCACATTTGGGTGGGCATGGAGTGCGTGGCGTGGGATCAATGGCCATGGTTGGCAGAGAAACTGTTGTGGGCGATTTCGGAGCACCCTCCTGTCCCCGAGGCTTGGCGTTTTCTTGCCCAGAACACGCTCCTCCTGACGTCTGTATGACTCTCTCCCTCCTTGCTCTCTGGTAGCTCAAACAATACCTCCTCCCTCCAGGCTGTCTTTAAAAGCACCCTTTCAGCCGGCCTCGGTGGCTCAACCTGTAATCCCGCGCCTTTGGGAGGCTGAGGTGAGTGGATTGTCTGAGCCCGCGGGTTCGAGACCCGCCTGGGCAGTGAGACCTCATCTCTACAATAAATAAAAAAATCAGCCAGGTGTGGTGGCGCATGCCTGTAATTCCGGCTACTTGGAAGGCTGAGGCGGAAGGATCGCCAGAGCCCAGTGGGTCGAGGCTGCGGTGGCCGGGAGTGGCCGCTGCACTCCAGTCTGGGCGACAGAGACTCCAACTCAAAAAAAAAAAAAAAAAAAGCAACCTTTCTCTCCTCCGCCCTTCCCCTGCCTTGTTCATAACACTTAGCAGAATCCAACATCATAGTATATATCTCTTTGTTTATTTAACTGTCTGGCTTTCACCCCTAGCATGTAAACTCCAGGAGGGAGAGAACCTTGCTGATTGCTCTTATCTTCAATTTCTAGACCAATGCTTAGCAGGTAATTGGGGTCAAGAAGTATTTGCCAAAAGAATCTCATGTCAATGAGGGCTCAATCAGTGGTCATTCATTTCCCCATTTTGCTGAGGAGGTCAGGACTTGCTTGGTAGACTCTAGAAGCACTTTTAATACTTTGTGACTCGAGGATTGTCTGATACAGAGAAAGTCTCTATTCAGAGGTACCCTGAGAAGATCCGTCAGAAGTGGAATCTTGGAGAATCTTGTAAAGTTTGAATCCAGGACTTGAATTTAGGAGTTTTGTCAGCATCTAGAGGAATATCTTGGATAGACGAGGCTGGGCATTTTATTTTGTGACATTACACTGATTTGTTTACATGTTGTTTCCTTTGTTAGTCTCAATGGTCCTTGGTGGCTTTATTCTATGTTATTAGTTTGTGTTTTAACTACTAAAAACAGTGGACCCTTAATCAGTGTTTGTTGAATGAATAATATATTGAACCAAGTATTGAACAGGAGCTATTAAAGGTCAAGGAAATTATTAGGCAGCAGAAATTTTGATCGGTTTTGCTCCAGAGTCTTCAGTACTGCCTGTTTCTCTAGTCACATGTATATTTTTTCATAGGGTCTTTATTTTTTATTAGTTGTTTATCTCTGAGGGAATCATATCAGGGAACAAAAGGGAAAAATTGCTTTGAGTAAAGACTTCCAGAGAGCCATGTTCTTTGTTATAAAGTGAAATCTCCATTGTTATAAAGTGAAATCTCCCCGGTAAATGTTGAAAATTTTCTGAAAAATGGGCTTGCTTATGTCTTGTCTGTACCAGCTGACTGAGTGAATGTATATGCCTCAGTTTGTATTGCTAACGAGACTAACGGTTTAGATAGGTCTTGTCTTCACAGAGGATTAATTCTTAGAAAAATCCAATGGACCTTTTCGGTGGACAATGTGGTAATCCGCTCAGCTCTTCCTCTGGGTGAGTCTTGCCTAGAGAAATTTCAGCTGAAGGTAGCTGCCTCACCCAAGGTGATGTCCCCGTTCCTGGAGTCAGCGTGTGTGCAGACACAGGTGGAATTGGAATACAAATGCTTGCCCCTTGGCCTCATTTGGGACATTTCTGAAGGGCTGTTCACACTTCAGTTCACACTTCAGGGCTTTTGGAGGCATCTGCTGAGGACTTTGCTTGCATCTGCCTTGCAACTCTTGTCCTGTCCAATCCTGCTTCCTTTCCACCCCTCCCTCCAGCCCCCCCAAAAGCTTCCCGCATGTAGATTTCTGTCTCCAAGTCTATTACCTGCAGAGTCTACCTCGGGGAAACCTTTTAGAAGGCTATTTATTTATATGTGATTCTTCATAGAAAGTATATTACACATAGGTTTAGACTGTGATTTGACAAACACATTGAGCTATATATTGGCTACATATATGGAATCGAATTCATGTGAGGTATAAAATGATCTCCCTCCAAGGAAGTGTATAGTGTAACTCTGGTCCAGCAAAAGTCAATTTAAAAAAAAGACACTGCTAGGTTGAGCATTTACACAAAAATCTGTGGCTTTGGATGAGCACGGTGGTCTGGAATACTTTGTTATTTTAAGTTTATTTACTCTTGGGAAAACATGACGGTTTTTAAGGAGAAAGACTTATAAAAATGCTCAAAGATATCATAGACATGGAGACGGCACTTACAAAGCATTGCTTGAATGACTTAAGTGTAAACGAATCAGAAACATGTGGATTACATTTATATTCTCATGAACATAAAATTCTTCTGGCTTCATGTGTTTTGGGCTTTTTATTAAGCCCCAAAACATTTGAAGAACAATTCAAGATGTTGATGTGTCCCGAATCTCTCTAAGTTGTCAGTTGTTGCTTTATTTGCTTAGACTTACCCTTACAGATGGTATATAAAATGTATTCTTTTTATGTTTGCTTTGGAAAGTATTTATAGCCACACCAATGTCACCTGGTATACCAATGTCACTTATTTGTATTCATTGAGGACTTCATCCAATAGGCGAAATTTGTCTTTTTGATACTTGTAAATATACCTCTCAAAGCTTGTGTAAACCTGCCATTCTGTCTGTTTTCTGTTCTGGGTGTAAGAGTGCTAATGCCACAGGGGAGTGGACGCAGTTGTGGTTTTCTATAGACAGGGAGGAGGTTTTTCTCACACCTCCTCAGCTATTGAATTCCCGGATAAAATTCAGACTGTGGAATGCCGAAATGGAGTATGGTTATAGTACAATAGTGAAGGAGACGGAGACAATTGGATTATGTAAAAATTTTAGCTTTTTTGTGCACTGTCTCAAACTAAACCTTCCCTTGAGAATGGTGTAGCTATTCAGAGGACAGTCTGGGGATGAGTCTCAGCCTAACCACCCCTTAGCTGTGACCTAGTTTTGCATATCTGTGATTATAATAGTAGTACTTATTCAGAGGTACTTGCAGTATCAGATGATTTGACGTCCCTAAAAAAAATCTCATCACAGAGTGGCTGGCACATAGTAAATGCATGACAAAAATCCAAAAATAATCAGAAAGTCTACTGGCATTATTGCTGCCCACCACCTCAATGAAAAAGAATCGTTTGTGTTTAGTTCAGATGTTTCTCATTTTCTCCTCCACTGGGAAGGATTGGTTGCAGTAGAAAGGAAGAAAGAAGCTCATAGCTTCAGAAAACTCTCTGAACATTTCTACTTGAAGTTTCTGATTATTGCCTATTTCACTGTCTCAAAAGAAGTAAAGATGTTGCTTGCTAATCTTTTGCATTTCATTCTAATTCAAATGTCCTAATAATTTGCAATTATGACTCTAATAATTTGTAATATATTAATTTATAAATATTTGGAATCAAGTTAAAATTAGCAAAAAATTATTGGGACCACGAAGTATAAGACACTATGATCAAGGTTGTGGTACCAGGGTGTAAAAGATAAAAGCTCTTTTCTCAAAAACACTATAATTTAGTTGAAGCAAAAATACATGAGATATTAGGCTTCGAAATGGTTAACAGTCTAGGTGTAAGTCCTATTTCTTATTCAAAAACTCACATGCATTTTGGCCACGGGACTGTAACCACTCTGTGCCTGTGTTTCCCCATATATAAAATAGGTGTAGTATCAGTACTCACTTTATACGGTGGTTGTCAGAATTAAGTAAGTTAGTATATGAAAAGCATGAAAGATAATGCCTGATATATAATATGAACCCTATGTTTCAGTTATTATACTATTATAATTGTTGTCTCTGTTACTATTTAATAATGTTGCCAGCTAACAATTTTTGTCAATGAGATGATTGAAGGCACTGTGTAGCTACTTATTAAATGAATAATGGGAATTATAAAAGGGAGCGGTCACTTCTAATTTGGGGATTTACAAGTAATTAATTGTTTATTGATTTGACAAATATGTATTGGGCACCTACCACCTGCCAGGCACTGTTCTAGATATTAGAATAAAAATT